GTGGAAGGGAGGGATGGGGAGGAAGGAAGGAAGGAAGGAAGGAAGGAAGATGATTGTAGGATGAAAGGGAGGGAGGGAGAAGGAAGGAAGAATGGAAGAAAGGAAGGGGATAGTAAGGTGGAAGGGAGGGATGGGGAGGAAGGAAGGAAGGAAGGAAGGAAGGAAGATGATTGTAGGATGAAAGGGAGGGAGGGAGAAGGAAGGAAGAATGGAAGAAATGAAGGGGATAGTAAGGTGGAAGGGAGGGATGGGGAGGAAGGAAGGAAGAAAGAAAGAAAGATGATTGTAGGATGGAAGGGAGGGAGGGAGAAGGAAGGAAGAATGGAAGAAATGAAGGGGATAGTAAGGTGGAAGGGAGGGATGGGGAGGAAGGAAGGAAGAAAGGAAGGAAGAAAGAAAGAAAGATTGTAGGATGGAAGGGAGGGAGGGAGAAGGAAGGAAGAATGGAAGAAATGAAGGGGATAGTAAGGTGGAAGGGAGGGATGGGGAGGAAGGAAGGAAGGAAGAAAGAAAGAAAGAAAGAAAGAAAGATGATTGTAGGATGGAAGGGAGGGAGGGAGAAGGAAGGAAGAATGGAAGAAATGAAGGGGATAGTGAGGTGGAAGGGAGGGATGGGGAGGAAGGAAGGAAGGAAGAAAGGAAGGAAGAAAGAAAGAAAGATTGTAGGATGGAAGGGAGGGAGGGAGAAGGAAGGAAGAATGGAAGAAATGAAGGGGATAGTAAGGTGGAAGGGAGGGATGGGGGAGGAAGGAAGGAAGGAAGAAGAAAGAAAGAAAGAAAGAGAAAGAAAGAAAGAAAGAAAGGTGATTGTAGGATGGAAGGGTGGGAGGGAGAAGGAAGGAAGAATGGAAGGAGAGAAAAAAGGGGATAGTAGGGTGGAAGGAAAGGGAGGAGGAAGGAAGGAAGAATGGAAGAAAGGAAGGTGATAGTAGGATGGAAGGAAGGAAGGAAGGAAGGAAGGAAACAGTCATAAGTCACTTTTTTCAATGCCATTGTAACCTCAGTCACTAAATGAACAGTTGTACTAAGGGACCAAGAAGGGTTAGAACAAGTAAAACCTCGTGGTTTCCATTCTTGAAGCCCCTCACCCTTCAAATCAAACTGATTTTTCTACAAGGGGGCAATTGAAGAAGTAAAAACCTTGCTGTCTCCAGGAGTGATGGGATGCTGAGAATTCTAAAAATCAAGCGGAATCATAAAAAAAATAAAAAATAAAAAACAAACGGAAGGCCCTTTCCAACACGTAGTCAAAGGAAACATCTTACCTTGGCTGTTCCCTACTGTGGGTCTGTTTCTCCACAACTTAGCTGTGGTTGATGCGTTCCATAATTTCGTTGTATTTGGCGGTGACGGCTTGGGCTCTCTGGGTCAAATGATGCAGGACACGGCAGAGACTGGACAAGTGGTAGTAAAAGACATCTTCCAAGCTTTCTTTCTCCACGTTCTCCTCCACCGGAGGGACCCCAGGTAGCTTCTCTCGTCTCGCAGGTAAGAACCGACCGCCTTCCAACATCCCCTTGCCGGATTTCAGCAGCACAAAATGTTCAAACAAGTCCTTGTCATCCGAGTCGGCTCCGAAGGCCTCTTCCAGATCTTCTAAAGAGACTCCGCGAAGGAGGCTGGGGAACATCACGGTCTGCTCCATCTTCTGGATGGCCGAGACGTACTTCTCCATGGCTGCGGGAGAGAGCATTTCTGGGAGCTGGAAGTCAGCTGGCATCTCGAAGTCTTTGTCACGCTGGGAGACCAAGGAGCCAGGAGGAGAAGGGTGGATGAGGCTCGGACAGGGCGTGGAGGACCATTTATGAGCAAAGCCGGGGAGGGAAACCAGACCCCGCCGGCGTGATCGGGATGAGTTCCATCCAAGGACACGCCTCGTTTTCCAGCCAATCTGATCTTTCTCCACATGGACCTTACTCTTTAGTTGGCAATGTGGGTTTGTTGACACCTTGTCAGGCTTCCAAATTGGGCTTCTTCCAGAGGTTTGACCCCCTCAGAAGATGTGTGGGGCCGTGGAGGACAGCTGCTGAGTCATTCTGGACAGCTCAGCTGGGCTGATTGGAAAAGGCCCAATGGAAAACTTTACACCAAAGTTTGAGAAACACTTGTAAGGTTTTTTTTGAACTCAGCTCAGAGTCTGATAATTCCCATGAAACTCTGAACACCGAGCTACGGATAACCAGCTTTTATCGTCCTAGAGTTAGAAATATTCTTTCATCTTACGCCAACCTCATGATTTTTTTCTCAGCGCTCTGAAAACAATAGAACTTAGAAAAGGGAAAGAAATACGTTTCCCGGCATGTAAATCAGAGTTTCGTTAGGGAATGCTGAGCGCACATTTCAAGTTACAAGCAAGGTTACTTGACAGTTCGCCTAGAACAGAGGTCAGCAAACTGCGGCTCTGGAGCCGCATGTGGCTCTTTCTTCCCTCTGCTGCGGCTCCGTCACCGGTCAGCACCACAATTTTGAGAGGAGCTTCCGGTGGGGGCGGGGGGGGAGAGAAGCACAGTGCGCCAGGAGAAGACTCTACGGCAAGGGGAGGGTTTTCTGTAATTGTCTCCACAATTGATAGGGCTTTCGGTTAGGACAGGTGGAGGAAAAAGTACGCCGTGCTAGGAGGAGACTCTATGGTGGGGGAACTGAACTTCCGGTCAGCTCCAGAATTGAACAGGGGGCTTCCGGTTAGGACCTTTGTGGCTCCCGGTGTTTTCTTCTGTATGGGAAACGGGTCCAAATTACTTTTTGAGTGTTTAAGTTTGCCGACCCCTGGCCTAGAACAGTGATGGCTTTTTTGGCTCCCGTGCCAAAAGCGGGGGTACCGCAAAAGCGTGCCATACCCATAATGCTATGCGTGCGAACCACCCCCCATGCACGCATGACCCCCTCCACTTTTGGTGTTGTTTTTTCGCCCTTCCCAGGCTCCAGAGGCTTTCTAGAAGCCTGGGCAGGGTGAAAACAACCTCCACCACTTCTCCTGGATGCTCTCCGGAGGCTTCAGGAGCTTCCCTCAAGGCTCCGGA